GGGGGGGGGGGGGGGAGGCCTAGCGGCCTTCCCTCTAGTCTTACACTGCTAAATTAGGGACGGCTAACGCAGATAGCCCTCGTGTAGCTTTGCGCGAAATTCAAAAACAAAGAAACAAACAACCTTATCTAACATATGAAGTCACCAACAATTACTCTTAATTACTGAAGTTTTGATCGACATTAAGTGCTACGCCTGTTATTCTTAATTCTAAGAATTTTTATTTTATTTAATATTCACTCACTATACATACACAAGTGTTTTAGTATCCACATGAACTGATGACACTCTCCTTATGTTCCACAGCGACCCAATTTTAATACGTATAAAAATGGAATGTTGTTATCGGGAAGACGAAGGAATGGAATGTCAAAATACTTTTGTACTGTTTAAATTTTGTAAATAGTATAAAAGGGTGCGGGCTGGTCCTGAGGTATAACTGTGGATTTCGAACCTCATGACCCGTGTTCGAATCCGTGCGATGTCACAAAATAGGTTTTCCATTTTAATCTGTGGATGCATTATAAGAATAACACTCATTTCTTTAGCGTGATTTGTGGATTATAGGTTGATGCTGTTTGGTTGCTTTATTTCAGTTCAAAATTAGGGACGGTGGAAAATAGTCTTAGGTGGTTTACTATGAATACAAATACATTGAAATTCATGTAAGTATTTATTACACATAACTAAGTTCTCACTTAAGGAAAAGCATTAAAATAAACATTGTCGTTGGCAGAAGACTCCTTTGAAAGGACTCGCAAGGCAACTATGGCAGAGTGTCAAGTAGAAAAATATAAACAGGCAGAGTGGAAACGACGATATACAGGCAAAAAAAAAAAAACTAAAGGAAGATTAACACAATTTCATTTCTGGCCAGAGAATGTAGAAATAAATACAATATTTAGGTAGTTTAGTTGTGTGTTAAAGAGCAAATTACTAGAGTTTCCTAACATGACATTTGTCCGACGGTAAAGATAAGTTCGATCCACTATGGTGGACAGAATGCATATAGCTTATAGTGTAGCTTTGCGCTAATACAAAAGCAGAACTTAATAACCCATTTACACCTAGTTCATGCTGCCTTGAGGATGTTAAGTATCTAGAGAAAAATACCATGCTGAAAGTTAATGAGGGAAAAATAATTTTATTTTGATAAGTATCGCAACAAAAACTTGATGACGGGATGTTTCGTTATATTCCAATACTTTGTAATATTTATAAAAGCTCATTTATTCCATAGTCAAACACTGAATATCGTTTTTTATGCTTTTGTGTGTATTTTAGCGCATTCTCTAATTACAAGTGCCTGTTTATCTTTAAGTAGCTGTTAAAATTATTGCTTTATGCCAATCTGTATTCAAGCGTTTGTGATAATAATTACCTTTCTAAAAGGCACACAAATTAAATGTATTTCCCCCTATAATGTCCATATATTGAAATATTTTTAGGAAGTGAAATATTTTTCCAATCAAATAGAAAATGTATTCATGTGCCACACAAAGCCATTGATGGCGTACAAGCAATATTTCACTTATAAATTATTGTGACTAACTTGCATATAATAAGAAAAAATGATTGATTGTGCAAGGTTTAGTACAACTAGTCAAGGAGGTTAAAGATGAAATAAACTATTTTATTTTATTTTAATTCCACAACGAAACAGTATTATATATTTTTTTCTTTTAAAAATAGAACATACATTTAATATTGACGCATACTTGTTAAAATTCAGTGTAAGCTAGAATCTATTTTGTGGACTGCTTCATTCAAGGTCGTTTCAAAGGCCTTTGGCAATAGGAAGCGAAAGATCTTTAGTATATTCAAAAACATTTTTTTTTTGTTTATAGAAAGGTCCGGTTGGATTTTAGTACGTTCATGTGGAGCTCATCATTTTTAATTTTTTTCCAGGTTATAGCTGGGCATTATTAAAACAAAAATGCTTAGTTCTTTATTAACGGCAGTCAATTTTTAAAGAAATGTATCTCATTACTAAAATGTTAGGTCAAACGATACAGGACTAATAGTGTTGGTAAGAAATAGTGGTAAGAAATATCCATAAAACTCTACATAGCCGCAGGTATACAGGATGGTAGGTAAAATCCAGGTGGACTGCTGATGTCATCCAAAGTCCCATTTGTTTCCAACATGCTTCAAATTACGCTAACTGAATTACCTTGCTTCTTCCTCTTCAAAACATTGTACGATTACTCAAATGCATTTATTTTTTTAAAACTATATAATAGAGCAGTTAAACCATTAATATTATCACATGAACATTTCATTATAAATAGCTCCCAATTGCTTCAGGTCTGAGATCATTTTT